TAAAAAGTGATATTTTCGACTTCTTGTTAAAAACCAATAGTTGAATTGCTTTGATATTACATATATGGATACTACATGTAGACCATACTCAGATTTGTTCATTTCATGATGATATCTTCAATTCTCTAATTTTGGTGAATATTTTTGTCATTTTTGGTAAAAAGTGATATTTTCGACTTCTTGTTAAAAACCAAAAGTTCAATTGCTTTGATATTACATATATAAGATACTACATGTAGACCTTTCTCAGATTTGTTCATTTCGTGATGATATCTTCAATTCTCTAATTTTAGTGAATATTTTTGTCATTTTTGGTAGAAAGTGATATTTTCGACTTCTTGTTAAAAACTCCGTTATTAGCATGTTGAGCTCTTTCAAATAGACATATAAGAAATTTATTAGCATATTGAGCTTTTTCAAATAGACATATAAGAAAGTTATTAGCTTACTGAGCTCTTTCAAATAGACATATAAGAAATTTATTAGCATATGGAGCTTTTTCAAATAGGCATATAAGAAAGTTTATTAGCTTACTGAGCTCTTTCAAATAGACATAAGAAAGTTATTAGCATATTGAGGTTTTTCAAATAGACATACACAAAAGTTATTAGCATATTGAGCTTTATCAAATAGACATGTAAGGAATCAGCGTTTTTAGTTTTTGTTCAAATAGTCATGTAAAGTATTGCTAAAATAATTAGATTTTGAGTTGTATTTCTTGTGAATGTGCAAAATGTCTGGTGTTGGGTTTAATTTATTCATGCTCACTCTGACTGTGTGTTTGGATGCTGTATTGTAATTATTTCTTAAATAAGTGAGGAGATCTTGCTTTAATTTCAGAATGGCTGAATATTTTATCTTTTAAACTTGTTATGCAAATTATTGGCTTTAAAAGATTTAATTCATATATATCACAAAAGTGAATGGTTTTCTGATCCAAATTGTGTGCAAATGTTTTTCCAGTTATTCTGAATCTCACTTTTATAGATCTCTGCTAGATCAAAATGGATCAATGTATGGATTTTTCAGTGATTATGTGCATACAATTTGACCAGAAATACATTTCAACTTTTGAGTTAGGGCATGTTATCGACAGCATGGGATGATTATACTTGATTTTTTATTCTGTTAAATGTAACTTGCAGCATCTTTTTATTAATTAAAAGAGATCAAGTTATAAAATTAGTTTCTCGACTAAACTTAGTATTTTTATTTGTCATTCTAGGGTGACCCAGGTAGAGCAGGACAGCAAGGTATGCCAGGAGCAAGGGTAAGGAATCATTATAGTCTGTGTTGATTTTAAAATTCTTCAACAAAATGAAATTGCAATGAATCATTTTCATCAAACTCCAACACCATACTGTACCATTTATTTTTAACTGGCATTTAATTTTACTATTTTGGTGCTTTAAGCAATTTCAGTGGGTTTTGAGTTCATGAACTTGACAGAGAAACAATGAGTTCTATTGTTATTTTACATGTTTACATGGATTTAATTTTACTTATCGGCAAAAACATTGAAATTAAAAACAAGCAATACTTAATGCGTTTACAGTATATAAATACCGTATTGTGAATAAAATCATGACAGATTTCAATATTTATCAAACTTTCCAATATTTTTACAGGGTTTAACAGGCTCACCAGGAAAAGAAGGTCCATCAGGAAGACCCGGTACTCCAGTAAGTTTGAATCAATTCCTATTACTATATAAAATTTGTTATATGCCTGATCTCTCAACGTTTTTGAGTGCCAAAGTCAACATTTGTCACCTTTCACAAAATAATACCAAGTGAACATGAATTTGTTTTTTCACAAATGTTGTCTAAGACCTATAGTAAATAGGATATTATGTCTGTTTCGTACAAAATTTGAAAAAAATGTATAGAAGAACAAGTAAAATATTACACAACATCTTTGCAGGAAACATTATGGCACTTTAATTGTTGGAACAATTTTTATAAATTGGAGTCAGTAGTGATGACTATTATTTTAATTACTTGTTTACTACTTGCAGGGACCACCAGGTGATGAT